AATATACCTCCTTACATGAAAACAAAACAAACGAACATGGAATAGCATGTTTGCATAGAAACAGGCAGTAACCACTATGACGCATGCAAAGACTAAAGCATTTAGACATTTATTGTTGCCTCTTGTGCCATGGAAAGATAGTAATTGTTGTGGACACTTGGCCACGTTTCACCACAAGTATCGAGGTTTACTCGGGGCGCGGGGTTCCCGTGCGGAGGAGCACGGGGCATCTCGCGCTGTTATATAATCTGTCACTCACGGCCGGTGGGGGGACAGTCGGACAGTCGGACGACAGAGAGAGAAGAGGAAGGGACGCAGCCAAGGTCTACACACTTTGCGGGAAATGTACTATGCACTACACTTGCTGAAATAAAGTATCGAGCACTCATGGTGAGAGTTATGCATTTGTTATTCCGTTTGTTGTTTAAAGTGTGGTAGTGCTGTGTTCCGTAACATGGTGCCGAAAACCGGAATATAGAACAAGATCTAGCATGGCTCTGTCCCTTGCCTACCCCCTCATGGACTCTAGATCTAAGCAAGCCTCTGTTGATCTGTTGATTTAGATTAGAGATCGTTTCTAGTACATGATACATGTGCTAGATCTATTCATCGGATCCTCATGGAATCTAGATCTATTAAGATTAGAGTGGTTCCAGTATCGTGCTGGATATTTCATTCATCGGATCCTCGTGGACTAGATCCAAGCAATCCTCTGTTGTTTTAGATTAGAGATCGTTTCTTGAACATGTGCTAGCTAGATCTATTCATCACAACCTCATGGACCAGGCGCGGTTCGTCCATAGAGCACGGTCGTGCAGTCCGCCCAAAATTTGTTAATGTTTTATTACGTAAAACACCTACAATATTAAGATAAAAGACGCCAGAAACAAAGCAGGAAACATATTTTTCTTCATCCCTTTAAACTTCATCCAGAAGAAGATGATATTCTCCAAAATCACCTCTTCATTAAAAAATACTATGTGTCCAGTACTATTTTGGGACGCGGCGTCTTCTTTTCATCCAAAACAATAAAAGTAATTGAAAAGCTTCCATTACTGCTCAACACAAGGGCAGCAAACTCAATACGATGTAGATCTATTATCAGCATTATGTTAATGACAACACCGGATGTTCACGAACGGAAAGCGAGCGGAGACAAAAATGTGTCACATTTGTTTCCCTCCCATTGTATGCCGATCAGGGAAATGGGTCACACTGGAAGGAAACAAAAGAGAGAAGAGAGGAACAGGAATGCACTCAGTTCATGCGTTAATACTTAACTATTAATCGTCATTCCATCAAAAGACACTGCAAAAGGGATTCACAACAAGACCGGGG